TTTCTCCAAAGAGGGGGACAAGCCACGGCAGGGCCAGGGAGGGGAGCCAGCGTGGCAGGGCCTGCAGCACTCCAGTCCTGGATTTGCCGGCGACTGGGCTTGACGCAGCTGGGCCCTGTTTGCTGACAGCTGGAGGACTCCCTTGGTTCATTCACGGGGAATAATTCATGCTCACCTACCACAGGCGCAGGTTAAAAAAAAAGCACGCTCCTGCCAGGCTACAGGCCCGGATTTATAGCCTCCCCTTCCCCTGCAGCCACTGCCCAGCCCCAGCTGCCAGGCTCAGCCCCGCTGGGGGGCAGCAGTGCTCCCAGCACGGCCAGCCTCGCCCCCCTTGGGCTCCGGCCCCTGCAGCCATCTGCTGGGTTTCTGGCATTCACACTCCCCCTGCTTGCCTTCCTCTGTCTGACGCTGCCATAGAAAGAGACCTGTTCACCCACTCCGTGTCCTGCCCCTGCTCTTCCTTCGCTGGGGGAGGCGTCTGCTTCTCCAGCTGTTCTGCTGCAGGCCCAGAGCTGGCAGCCTCCAAACCACCGGCTGCCATTGCAGCCTGACAGTCCTGCCGGGGGGGTGCACCGGGCCCTAGGCCTTTCCCTTCCCCTGGGGGACACCGGGCTGGCCCCGTGGCACCCTGCCGCACACGCACATCTGTTTCTGCCCCTTCTGAAGCCGACCTGCCACCACGCACTCCATTTCAGTGGCATGTCCCAGCTGGGCCGGCAGCACACCCCTGCCCCCCCCATCCCAACATGCAGCCCCCCGCTTTCCCCAATCCCCTCTCCAAGCTGTGGGAATGTTTTCAATCTGGATCCTGGCACCACAGCCTTGACCTCCCCTCTAATTGCAAATAATAAGGTGCACATGCTGGAGCCGGGGAAGGAGAGAGAAAGGCAGGAAGTGCTTTTAGCACTGATTAAATTATCAGGCCCTTGGTCAGCATTTGGAAATGAGTTACTCCGGGAAGACAAAGCCCTTTAGTCCCAGCCCTTCTCCTGTTTCTTCTTGGGGAGGCGGCGGCGGCAGCAAAGCCACGGCCTGCCTGCCTGCCCTCTTCCCCCCTCTCCTCCCTGTGCCAGTGTGATGGGCAGAAAGCCGATAGCCAGGAGACATGAGGCGGCAGCAGCGATGCGGGTGCAAATGGCCTGTCTCCCTTGCCTCCAGGGAGGGGGATGAATGGCAGAGGCCAGGCTTTGGAGAGAGGCTGCAACTCCCGGGCCTGACCTCCAAGACACCTTTGTGCTGTCTGGCCCTGTGAGGCAGAGCCCGGTGGGGGGCCTGGCTTTGAGGGCCGGAGCCAGCCCCCAGCGCAGGGCTAGGGCTGCCCTTGGCCCCTCAGCCTGCATAGCAACAGGCTCTGACTGCGGGGCCTCCAGGTCACAGGCAGGGTGGTGCTGGGGCTCGGGGCAGGGCCGGATTCGGAGTCACTCGGCTGTCTGGCAGCGGGCCCTGCACTTACCTTGTGTTTGGGACATTTCAGAGAGAAACTCTCTTCAGTTAATAAGCAACCTGCCGAGAGAAAGGAGAGCAGTGTCTCAGTGCTGGAGGGGCGACCACTGCGGGAGCCCCCCAACTAACCTGCTGCAGGGTCACAGCCTTGCGGCCCCCCTCCCTTTCCCCTCCAACGCGCCTTTCATGTCCCACGCACCGGCTCGGAGCCTGTGGCACGGCCATTGTCCTGCTCGCAGAGGGGACTGAATGGAGCTCAGTCTAGCATCCATAATGCCGCCGCCTCCGCCAGGCAGAGGGGCCGCCCCTGGGCCGTGGGAAACCCGGGTTACCCCGCTGAGCCCTCCCCGCTCTAGGAGCCTGGCTTGCAGCTGGGAATGACAGCAACCTGCCTCCCTGCCTGGCCCGTCAGGAGCTGTCCAAGGGTCCTGCCCAGCTCCCCCGGTGTGCCTCGTCCTGAACCCGCAGTGTGCGGGACTCCAGTCCCGGGGGTCCGCAGCCCTCTGCCAGCAGACCTGGGTCCCTGACCAGCTCCTGCCCCACCCCTCAGCCATCAGCATCCGGCTAATGGACGATGCCAGACTGGCCAAGCTCATTTCTACCTGGAGGCCCAACCGAGGGCTGAAGCGGGCTCTCTACAGGAGGAGCAGGCAGCTGGTCATCCTCCCTCAGCCTGATGTCCTCGGCAGCCAGCCAGCTCCAGAGATGGCCCGTGCACCTCACTGGTGCTGCCAGAGGACTCGGGGGGATAGCTGGGAACAGGGCTATTGCCTTTCCAGGCCTCTCCTCTCTGAGGGGAGGCTGCAAATGGAGCCGTGCACGATGGCTGGGATGTTAACGGGAACACCGCCCCAGGCCAGGGCTGCTCACTTCGCTCTGCCGTTCCCTGCAAGACTTCTCTCCCCGCAGCCTTCAGGGCTGGGGCCAGGGGAGCCTTTTACTGCATCCCCAAGAGGCATCTGATGGATTTGCAACAGAGAAGCGGAGCAAGTCTCCCATGCCCTCCTGCCCTGACGGGTGCCTCCACAGGGGTGAGAGCCTCTGCAAGGTCTGCGGCACAGGCTCAGGCCTTGGATGCTGACATATCACTGGTGGCACTGCCCCAAAATGACTTTAAGAGCTGGAGGTTTTTGGCAGCGGGCAGCATCCGTGCCTGGCCAAATGGATCCAGCTCAGCCACAAGAAAAAGGGGTCAGTGGGTGCATGGGGTTCCCAGGAACAGCACCCTTCCTCCTGGCCTCTTCCCAGCTACAGAGCCTCCTGCACGAAGGTCGCACTGGGTCTCACGCTGGGCGGGGGCAGGTGTTAATGCACCTTGCCCCTGCAGAGGAGCGGAAGCGCAGGCTGACTGAATGGCTTGGCCGAAGATGCACCCACAGATCCGGGCAAGTTGGCTCCCACCCCCAGCTGCAATCCCGCAGAGCCTTCACGTAGAGACTTAAGACTGACGTACCAACAACTGCCTGGAGCTGCTATATAGGGGGTGGCAGCGGGGCTAGGCTAGGAGGGAAGCTGGCCAGGGTAGAGGTGCCACGGGAGCCTAGGACTGCAGCAAGAGGACGGGAGTCAGGCTGAGCTCGGGAGGAGGATGCGCATGGGGCTGGGCTCTAACCATTGCTTTCACCGCCCCCCTAAGTCACCGCTGGTGGGGACGGGGGAGCTTTACCGCAGCTCGCCCAGGACTTCCCACACAGGTCTTAGAGGGGCCGTGGCTTCTTCCTTACTAGGGTTTGGCTGTTCCTGGTGGCTGCTCTGTGCCCCTTCTGGCCCCAGCACACCTTACCTGCGTCGATGGCACATGCGTAGTGATAGGTCTGGGCACATCCCTTGTGGCAGCAGCCAACAGTTGCTCCTGTTTGCTGGCAACTCGAGCATTTCTTTAAATCCACCGGAGGGGAAGCAAAGAGAGAGAGAGAGAGAGAGCGCCATGAGGCCTGGCAGAGCAGATCCTGGCCACGGCCAGCAGCACTTGCCCTCTGCCCTGCAGGAAGCCTGCCCAGCCTCACGCTCTGCTGTGCTCAGGTCCTGACCCCCAGGACTGTATCTGCACCCAGATGTCTGCGATTTGTCATTAAACCCACATCCCACGTCCCTCCACTGCACATCTGTGCACAGAGGCTGCTGCCACTGAGTGGAGACCGGCACCTCGCACCTCCCGGGACAGCCCCTGGCCCCAACTGCGTCGCATGGCGCAGTACAGTCTCATGCACACACTAGCTGGTACCCCCACGCAAGGTTTGCAGCCTTTCCCCTGAACTGTGGCACTTGGTTTTCATGACTGCACTGCTCCTACAGACCACGAGCCCGATCCCAAGTCCCCACGACACTGCCCTGGGGGATCAGGGGCTGCACCAATAATGCAGCCTCATTACAGGAGCCTCCACCACTGCCTGTTGGCCCCCGAGGGCAGTGTTTGCTGCCTGCCACCTAGACAGCCATGCCCCACTACCACCAGACAACCGTGCCCTCCTGCCAAGGGCTTCCAAGTGCTTCACGGGCAGGCACTGACCCTTGCAACTCCCCACGGGCTCGGCCTTCACCACTGCTCATTTCACAGATAGGCACAGTGAGGTACGGAGAGGAGAAAGGCCACCCAGGGCAGTCGGTGGCAGCGCCGGGCCCAAATCTCATGCCTTGAGCTCAGACTTCCTCTGTTCTGTTGCACAGGAAACCTGATGGAGACGAGCTGCCGTTTGCAGGGAGCGGTGCCACCCAGAGCCTCTCCGAGAGTGACAGCACTTAGCGGGGGGTCGACAGGCAGCGGGGGAAACCTACCCCACCAAGCAGGGATGCAACAGCACAGCACTACGCCCAGGAGGAGGAGACAAGAGGCCTGCGGAGACCCATTCCCTGTCACCGTGGGGAGCTGACAGTGACGGATACATCCCTCCCCCCAGCCCTGTCCCAGGGGTTCACCTCCCACGTGGGGCATGCTTCTCCCCGTGCTTGCACCCTTCCCACCCAAACGACATTGCTCCGTGTCCACCCCCGGGCTCAGAGGCGGCATCTGGCCTCTCCACGCTCCCCCTCGCCCTGTGACTCAGCAATTGGAAGGGATGTTATTTATAGCCACCAACAGGCGACGTCTCCAGGCGCAAGCGATGAATCTGGGGGGTCGGAGAGGAGGACCGGGTGAGCGATGCCCAAGGGGGCAGTTCAAGGGGCAGGGGGAAAGCTGGGCTTCAAAGGCTTTGCCCCTGGCGACTATGATGCTATGCACCTAACGAGGCATCCTCCAAAAGCAGCAGCTTGCTACGCACACGCCACGGCCCTGCACCTACTGCAACCTAGCGCACCGGGGACCAAGCAGGGGTATTCAGAGCAGGTCCCTGGTGCTGTTTATACCCTTTGATGGGCCAGCCCTGAATAGGAATCATTCAAGAGGGGCAGGCAGCCCTGGGCCACTCGGTCACTGCAGGGACAAGTCGGGATGAGCCTTTCAGAAGCCCCCACCGCGGAGGATGGGGCACACGTGGGACAAGGTGGGGTCCCTGCGATGAGCAGCTAGTAAATGCACCCGCTGCATTAGCGTTTGCCTATGCTGCAAGTGGGAGGCACGTGCAGAAAGCCGGAGACATGCTGGGGCGCTGCCGCCCGGCTCTGTCTGCTGCTTGGAAAGACCAAGGCCAAGGTAGCTGGCCAGCCTTGGGCCACTGGAGTCCCAGGAGCCATCAGCCCCGCAGTGATCAGGGTTGGTCAAATCGAATCCCACGAGGGTTGGAAGGGACCGCAGGAGGTCGCAGCTAGTCCAACGCTGGCTCAAAGCAGGACCAGCCCCAACTGCATCCTGATGGCCAGCACAGCCCGGTGACGTTCACCCAGCTATTCGTGCACTGAGCCCAGCCTTTTCGCAAGGCAGCTGGGGTGTCTCTTAGAAGGACGCCGACATCCAGCCCTGACGCAGTGCTTTTGAGCGATGGAGGGTCTATCCTGGCCCTTGCTTCCAGTGGCTTATTGCCTTTCCTGGGCACCTTACTGGCATGGCATTCAGCAGAGGAGAAGGGGAGCAGGGGGAAGGAGAAGGGAAGCGGTGACCCTTCTTGGTTCCCTGCTACCCAGTCCCACGGCCATCCTAGCTGCTCGGTCTCGTCTGTCATTTCCGGGGTGCCCACCACTGGGGACCCTCGCCAGACAACACCTGTTTCTTTCTCCCTTTATTCTGTCTCCAGTCCTTTCTTTCTGTTTCTAGCCTGGGACCCAAGCCATGTGGCTTCAGTGAAGAGTGGGTGGGTTGGCTCACTTTCAGCAAGTCTCAGCGTCCCCAGGGTGGGGGGAGTGCTGACGTTTTATGGGGATAGGAAGAAGCCATCTCTTCTCCAAAACCCCTGTGCTTTTGCAGGATTCACCCAAGAGGCCTGTTTTTGCCACCGATTCAAAGCAGCACAAGTCTCGCTGAAAGGCAATGAGACTTAAGCTTCTCAAGTCACTTGGATGCTCTTAAAAACAAGGCCTTCTGTTTCCAGCTCTAGCCTGGGCCTTATCCTCGGTGCCAGGATGCCTTCAGGCTGGCGAACCCCGCTTCTGCCAATGCGTCATCTTTAATGCTTTGAAAGCCACATTTCTCAAGACGATCCAGCAGACTGGCATTGCTGCTCGCTGGGCTTTGTAGTAACCGGCCATTAAATCCAGTTACCTCCAAGTGCCCAAGTTGTGAGTAAGGGCCCAGCCGTCTCGTGGCGGGTCAGGGAAGGGCTATATGGGAGGCTGTGGGCAGGTGGGGGGTGATGTAGCAACCTCCCGACATCCCCAGGGCACGCTGTGAGCGTGACCGGTGCAGAGGGCGTGGGGTGCTGAGAGGGGACATGCCCAAGCACCACAAAGAGCAGTAGCCAGGGCTCGCAGCGTTGCTCCTACCTTTCCAGAGGGGAGCGGGGCTCCCACTGAAATGGTCTGGGCAGGGTCCGGCTGGCGCAAGGGTAACAAGAGGGAGCCTCCTTTCCCTCCTCTCGTCTCCACGAATCCTGCTCCAAGCCCAGGAAAGCCAAGAGAGGCTCCGTATAGGGCCAGACCCTCTGCGGTCCTCACCCAGGCTGGAGTCCCGGTAGCAGCAGGGAAAGTTAGCCCCAAATGAATATGCAAGAAACCCAGCTGCTCCCTAACTGATGCTGCCCTCTTCCACCAGAGACCACGTGGCATTTCGCTGATGGGAAGGACCCGGGGAGGATTCCTTTAATTGCCCTGGTGGAAAGCCAAACGGATCCCACTGGAGTAGGCCCTGCGAGCATCACATGCCCAGAAGGGCATGGGAGAGACAGAAGGCTCGATACCAAGAGAACAGGGTGAAAAACCTCGGTCTTACCCTAGAGATGAGACCAGGAAGTCTGGCCTCAGACCTCTACCATGTGGGGAGCTAATCTTCAGTCCAGTTGCCTGCTCTCCTAGGGTCACGCAGATCCTGGCAGCTGGCTGTGCCAGGGCTTGGGCTGCCCAGCTATAGGGCAGCAATTTGGTGCTCTCCAGGGGTGTCAAGGGAGACGGGGG